GGGCCGAGGCATACACAATGTGCCCTCTGTGCCTGTCCCCGAGTTGGCAGGGGCACAGTGCCCTAGAGGTTTCCAGCCTGGACCTACCCCTCTGGGCTTACGGAGGGGAGGGGCCGCAGCCACCGCAGCCAAGAAGCTCGTCAGCATCTTGTCTATGGGCTGTGAATTTAATGACCCAGATACCCTAAAAATCCCACCAACCCCTGTTCCCCCTGTGCCTCTGTCCAGTCCCTTCTCATAGTGCCCCATCAACCCAGAGTCCCCCAGGCCATGCCCATTCTCTTATCCCCTCCCCACCATTCTTTCCATCTTTTGAAAACTTCTCTCCAGCTACCCACACTGTTCCCTTCCTAGGCTGGCCCAGCAGGCTTTGGTGGTATTGCGGGGTGGGTGGTGTTTGTGGCTTTCTAGGTCACCAGAGAGGGAGCTGAAAGCTTAGGGATGTGGGTCAGGATTTGGGGGCTGCAGATGAGGACATCACATCCCCAGGCATGGATTTCACTGTCCGAAGGCTATTACGTTCTCAAACTCAGAACTATTCCTTACCCTTTGGAACTTGGGGCAGGAGTATGTGGTCAGTGCCAGGTGTAGAACTAAGACCCAAGTGGAGGGCAGCATTGGAGTGAGCAGTGGGCACTCCCCCAGAAATGAAAAAGGACAAAATTTGCCAACCCCTGGCCCACAGACTCTTCCTTCTGCCCAGAGCTGTAGCTGGTGGACACAGCTTCCAGGACCTGGTCCTGGAGAAGTGAGCTCCCCAGCCAAAGAATGTTAAGCTGCTGGGCCTCCCTGGTGGCGCAGCAGGTTGAGCACAGTGCTGTGAAGCTGTCCGCAGCCTCTGCAGTGCCGGTTTGATTCCCTACCACTAAGGAGATACCCACATGGCACGGCAGACCTCTCCTGTCTTGCCCGCTGCTCCCCTCAACAGTGTTTTAGGTCCATCTGCCTGTTCTGCTCCCCACTCTGTCTCTGGTGAATTCTATCACCCTCCCGTGCTCTGGGCTGTACCCCCAGTTCTTGTATAAGTAAAATAAATCTTAAAAAAAAAAAAAAAAGAATGTTAAGCTGCTACTGTGCCTGCCTGGTCTTGCCCAGCTTTACCCCTTATGGGGCAGGGGACATGCCTGGGTACAGCTTTCTGTGTCTTTGGGCAGCTTAAGGGCCAAACAGGATCAAGGCTCTACCCCTTGCTGCTTCGGCCCTGGTCTAGCCACCCACAGGCTGCCCTACAGTCTCCAGCCTTTGCACTGGACCCCTGGAGGGATTAGCTCTGCCCCAAGCCCTGCGGAGGAGGCCAGCTCCACAGACTGCTTCTTGGGCCTGGCTGACCTTGCCTGTCCGGTGCCCCCTTGCCAGCCGTGCAGCGCATCGCCGAGTCCCACCTACAGTCCATCGGCAACCCGGAGGAGGAGGATGAGCTGGGCGAGCTTCGGGAGCTGGGCTACCCAAGGGAGGAGGAGGAGGACGAGGAGGAAGAGGATGATGAGGAAGAGGAGGAGGAGGAGGACAGCCAAGCCGAAATCCTGAAGGTCTACAGGGGATCTGGTAAGACGAAGCGCAGGGCGGCCTGGGTCCATCACCAGGGAGGGTGGGGTCCTCCTGGATGGTCCTGGGACACCCTCCCAGTTCACAGCTTCTCACACAGGTAAACTGCAGTCACACCCGAACGACCTTCCCATTCTGTCGCTCCCCAGGAGGGCTCATTCGGCTTTCCTGAGCCCTGGGCGCGCCTTTCTCCGGGTCTCTCCAAATTAGGTTCCTCCTAATACAGCTGAACCTTGAACATGGTTTTGAACTTTGCGGGTCCACTTATATTCGGATTTTTTTCTATCCCCAGGTTCTAGAATTCACTAATTCAACCAGTAACAGATGTTGGTTGGTTGACTCCATGGATGGCGAACCACGCAGATCCTGAGGGCTGACTCTAAGGGACTTGAGCAGCCTCCAATTTTAGTACCGCTGGGGTCCTGAAACCAGGCCCCTGTGGATACCAAGGGACGACTGTAGTTCTTAGAAAGTCGAAAGTTGCCCTTGGATTTTCGACTGCGAGCGGGTCAGCGTCCCTAACCCCTGAGTGGTTCAAGAGTCAACTGTAATTCCTCTCTTTCCTAAGAATTAAGGCAAGGCCACGTGAGACTCAGGGTTACACCCAAGATGGGACTCTGCGTCCAAAGCAGCGAGGGGGTATGAGACAGTGCAGGGCAGAGGCCTGATGCTGCCCAGTGCTGTCATCACCTGCATTTCTGGACGTAGCTCTAGTCTCTGCTGGGGGGCAGAGGGCTGGGTGCTCCCTGCTCTCCAGGACGCTGTGGCTGTTTCTCCCTTTTTCTTCCCTTGCTGGGGGTGAGAGGGTGCCCTCTAGTGTCTCGATGGAGAACCTAGGTTTCTGGTCCTCTGCACCTCCACCAGAGAAAGAAAAGAGACCTGGAAGGGGCAAAAACCTACACCGAAGACCTCAGAATTAGAGGCCCCAGACCCAAAATTGTCCATAGAGGGTCCTAAGGCCCAGAACATTTCTAGGCAGGAAGATGTCAGCCACTCCATAGTTGTTTCTTTGATGCCCGGCCAGGAAAGGCTGTGCCACATTTGTCCTTCCTAGGGCACATGAAACTCTTTGGTCTCATTATTTTGGAGGATGAAAAACAGCTAATCACCATGTTTGAGGTGTCTAGTTCTTGCACCCAGATAAAATGGCTTGCACTCCCTGTCTGCATCTCTGGCAGTAACTCCAGCTAGAAGAGTTGAGTCAGCTCCCACTGAAATCCCCAGAGCAGTGGAGAAGAGGTGGGAGAAGACTGTTCCCTCAGAAAAATCTGTAGAGCAAGGAGTGAAATGACAAGGCTACCTAGCAAGATCAGCCGCCACCCTCCTGGTGTGCACATTGCTGCCCAGGAAGAAACAGCCACACTCTCTGGAGCCTCCTGGAGCTGCTTTCTGGGGCTGGGCAAGATATTAACCATTAATTTATTTAAGGGAGTCTACGCAATTTCTTTCTTACCATTCCCTCCAGAGAGGTAACAACTGACTTACCCAAGCCATAAATTAACCATCGGACGTGTCCTATTCCAGCACTCTCTCCACTGTAACGTGGTGTCCTCAGAAAGCTTAGCCTCAGCTATCACAGACCCAGCTCATGCTCCAGGACAACCAGGGGGACAGCAGAGCCTGTGTTTTTACCCTTCTTTCCTATCCCCAGCTGGGCAGAAGACAACCTGTGGTCAGGGTCTGGAGGGGCCTTGGGAACGCCCCCCTCCTCTGGATGAGCCTCAGAGAGATGGAAGTTCTGAGAACCAAGTGGAAGACCAGGCACGAAGTGGTGAGGCTTGGGAGTAGGGAATGGGGAGTGGGGCTGGTGGGTGAGACCAGGCCCTAAGTCCCTCTGCTTGCCTTACAGAGCCTGGGGAGGAGCCACAGCATCCTGAACCCGGCACATAGGCACCCAGTCCTGCATCTCCCAGGAAGGAAGTGGAGGGGGGCATCGTTGTTCCCCAGAAACCCACTCTGTCCCTACCCTGTTTTGTACCCTTCCTCTCTCGCTAGGGCTGCGGCTTCTGACTTTTAGAAGACTAAGGCTGGTCTGTGTTTGCTTGTTTGCCCAACTTTGGCTGATGCCCAGAGTCTCTGGGCACTTGCTTCCTGATGCCTACCCCTGCCAGTCATTCCCCCATTCACCCAGTGCAAGGTAGGATGTGAGTTTGTGTTGGAAACAGTAAACAGGGAAAAAAGGTTCCTTTGCAATTCTCCTCCCCAGACCCTCTCCGCTGGGCACAGGAAACCCACAGGGCAGGACCCTAAATCTGGGGAAAGGGGATGCTGAGAACCTGCAGGTGCCCATAGAGCCTTACCATTCCCTCTCCTATGGGAGATTCCAAGACACTACCCCTCACTGGCTTCTACCAGGACCCAGGCTTCAGGCATCCTTCTCTACAACCTCAACATTTTGGACAACTTCTGCTTCTCACCCCTGCTGCCCTGCCTGGGTGCCTGGAAGATGGACTGGCAGAGGCTGCTTTGTTGCGTTTTGTTTGTGCTTTGATGCCAGGAATGCCGCCTAGTATACCTCTTTTGGGGGGCACATAGTTGGGGGGACTTGTCCTCCAGCTGCTCTGGCCCCTTCCCCTCTTCCCTGACTCCAGGCCTGAACTGCTCCCATGCTGTAATAAATCTTTGTAAATAACCGTTCTGTGACTCCTTTTTTTTAAAAAAAGATTTGTTTTTATTTATTTATGCATACAAGAACTGGGGTGTAAGCCAGAGGTGCGGAGGTTGAGAGGATTCACCAGAGACAGAGAGGGGAGCTGAACAGGCAGATCCACTGAAATACACTGCTGAGGGGAGCAGCAGGCAAGAGGGGAGAGGTCTGCTGTACCAAGTGGGTTAGCTTCTAGGCCGGGAACAAACCCGCATGCCCCGGAGGCTGGGGATGGCTTGACAGCACTGAGACTTTAACCCCTGTGCCACCAGGGAGGTCCTCGGTGACTCCTCTGAGGGATAAGAGGGAGAAGGCGGCAATGACTTCCTGATAAAGACGGCTTGGTGCTTCTCCAAGAGGCAGGGCCTCAACCCTAGTGTCTAGCGTAGTAGTTCCTGCAGACAACCCGGAGCACGCTTAGGAAGGACAAGAGAAGTCCCGATCCAGCTAGGGATGGCTGAAGAGGCAGTTGTGGGGACAGACCTCCTTCAAGAGTTGTTGTGGATTTCTCCCAAGGACGCGCCCCCCACCCCACAGACTCCCCTGGTGAAGTTCCCCTTCTTCAGCGCCAGTCCTAAGTGCCCAGGGACTAGATGCCCCGGGCTTCTTTCCCAAGTCCGTCTCCCGCTCCTACAGCCCAGCTTTCGCCCTAGCCCCACTTCCGGCGCTCAGAAGTGGGGCCCTGAGCTTGGGGGCGGAGGCTGAGCTTGGGGGCGGAGGCTGAGCTTGGGGGCGGAGGCTGAGCCCAGGGGGCGGAGCCACAGGCCTCCGCGCCTCCCGGTTCGCTCTCCCGGGCGGACTCCGCGGCGGAAGTGGCGCCGCCGGGAGATCCCCTTCCGCTCTGAGGCGCGATCAGGGCTTCCGAGCCGGATTGCGGCCGGGGCAGGAAGAGCCGGGCTGTGGCTGACATGGAGCAGGTGGGTCCCGGTGGCGGCGCGAGGGCTGTGTCTGGCCAGCGGGTCCCGCCTCCCGCCCGGTGTCCGTTCTCGGTTCCGTCCGACCCTCCCCACACCCGCCGCGTCCCGGGTTCCGCCCCCTGTGCGCCGCCTCGCTCCGCCCCGCGCTGGGCTGGGGGGCTCCGGCGCTGTCCCCCGCGCCCCGGCCCAGCCGAGATGGACCGGGAGAGGCCGAGGCGGGGCGCGCTCCAAAACCTCCCTCTTGGCGGCGAGGGGACAAGCGAGGGCGCCGTGGCTGAGTAGTAGGACGGGCGCTGAATATGGGGAGGGGTCGGGACCCGGGAGTGAGGAGGGAGAGGGGCCTGCGCGTCCCGGCGCGCCTGCGGCTCGCGCTCGTCGGGCTCCCCCGACTTCCTCTGGAACCGAATCACTTCCTAAGTGACATCAAAGGGGCTCTTTAAAGTCTCTTTCCTGAGTTCTCGGAGGTGCATAACACCAGTGACATTTATTCCTAATTAACATAGTTGACGCGTCCCACCCTCCTCCTCCTCTTTTTTGGCTTTCACAGCTTCAGTATCTTATTTTCTTCCTACTGCTCTGACAGAAGAAGACCCGGTTCCCATTGTTTCTCCTGCCCGGCCTCTCACTCTGCACTGAAGCTGGATGACCTCTCTACTAAATAAATACCCTCAGTATTGAGTCACCTAAATACCCGAAATACGCCCAGATTCACATCTTCAGCACAGCCCCGTCCTGGACACAAGACCTGGCTATTCAGCTATCAGTTGGACAGCTCCATTTTAGCTGGTGTCTAACTGGAACTGGTTTTCCCCCTGCAGACTCATCTCTCCTCCACCACACCATCCCAGCCAGAATCTTGGGGATTATTGTACACCACTTCTCCCTCAGGTCCCACATCTAAAAAGTGGCCATTCCAGCTAACTTCCTCAACATGCTTCCTACCTGGTCTGCATCTCCATCTCTTCTCTTACTGCTCTTGTAGATGTGTTTTTCCTCAGGGTGACTGTAGTGGCTTCCCAGCAATTTCCAGTCATGGCTGCCTGCACCCCAGTCTCCAAGCTGTAACTCTTGTGATCCTTTCAAAACACAAGTCTCATGTAGTGTCACCTTCTTGCTTAAAACCCTTTGATGACTTGTGAGTGGTTATGGGGGAAAGCTGAATCCCTAACACAATTTACAGAGCTCTCTCACCTCTTTCCTGCCAATCTCCAATGTGCACCCTAAGGTGCTTGCCCAGCCCTCAACATTTCAAGTCTCCTTGCCTTTGCACACACCACAGCCCTGCTGCCTGAAAGGCCTCTTCTCCTCTTGCCTGCCAGGCCGCCTTATTCTTGTACTGCTGTGCTCTGCTCAGGCCTCTGGATCATCTTCCCCACCTCCCAAGGCTGAATATTGCCCCTCTGTGTCCTGCAGTGCCTTATCCATATAGCATAGTGGTTGAGAATGCAGATTCCAGAATCATACTTCTGAGACTATTCGATACTAGATCTGTGTCTCACTGTCTGCTGATACTACTTGGTGATTTTTTTTTAAGGTTTATTTATGCATACAAGAATTGGGGTGCAGGCCAGAAGTGTGGGGTGTGTGTGAGAGGATTCACCAGAGAAAGTGGGTAGCAGAACAGGCAGATCTACTGAAATACACTGCTGAGGGGAGCAGCAGGCGAGGCAGGAGAGGTCTGCTGCGCCATGTGGGTTAGCTCCCTCATGGCCTGGGATGGAACTCCTGCTGCAGTGGCTGGCAATAGCTTGACAGTGTTGTCTTTAACCCCTGCGCCACCAGGAAAGCCCTACTTGGTTATCTTGATGAAGTGGGTACCTCCATTTCCTCATTTCTGAAATGGAAATAGTGATGTCCCTGCCTCATAGAATCACTGTGAAGATTAAAGGAAAGTATGAGTGGGCTTAAAACAGCGTGTGCATGCAGGATAGCTGTGTTACCTGTTAATGCTTCTATAGGAAGAGTGTGGAGCATTGGTTGGTCCTTAACTTCATAAGCTGCTTAAGGATAGGTGATATGACTTCTCATCCTATCCCCAAACCTGGCTCTTTGTCAGTAAATAAAATGCTGGTGTGTGGGAGCATTGGGAGCAGGATCTGGGTTTTTCTTTTTCTTTTTTCTTTTTTAAAGATTGATTGATTGATTGATTTATACAAGCACTGGGACAGTCAGAAGTGCGGGAGGGTGAGAGAATTCACTAGAGCCAGAGCGGGGAACAGAACAGGCAGACTGATGAAATATACTGCTGAGGGGAGCAGCGGGCAGCAGGAGAGGTCTGTGGCACCATGTGGGACCCTTGCAGGCGGCCAGGGATCGAAGCGGTGCTGCAGAGGCTGCGGACAGCTTTGCAGCCCAGCGTTCAACCGCTGTGCCACCAGGGGAGGCCCAGGATCTGGGTTTTTCAAGTGAGAGTTCAAGGATGAAAAAGGATGAAAAGAAGTCGCTTGGCTCAGAAAGTGACTATGGAATGGGTCAGCGTTACATGGCAAACCTTAATTCTAAAGTGTACATGGAATTCTGGAGACCCGTGGGAGACATAGACTGAGGATGGCTTCCCAGAGGAGCTGACAGTTAGTGTGGACCTCAAAGTGGGAAGATGAGTTTATCAGAGGGAGCCAGAGACTAGGATGACCTGGGTGGGCTCAGAGAATGGTGAGCTGGGTTCTCTGAATAGAGCTCGAGGGGGATGGAGCTGATATGAACAGGAGGGCAGAGGCAGGGGTTCCTTTGTTATGAGGAACGGTCCCCTTCAGTTATGAGCTGTTGGGGGCCAGGCCCTGGGGCCGCCTGGAGGCCTGGTACCTGGTGTTTGGGGACAGACCCCCTGGGGTAGGGTTAGCATACATACTTGTGGGCTGGACCTGAGCTTTAGACCAGATTCTGGACTTATGTGCTATTTTGCCTGACTGAGGCCTGTTTCTCTTGCCTCTAGCTGATAGAAAGTGATTCTTCAAGGCCTGGGTTAGATGGCCCCTCCTCCTGTGACTTTCCTGACCTCACTCATTCTAGCCTGGGTCAGATGCTCGCCTCTGTGGGAGCCTGTGGTTCTTTGTTCCTTTCTGAAAGTGCTGATCAAGCGTGGCTCTGTGTATTATTTGTCAACCTCCCCCCAATCCCTAGACTCAGAGCCCCTGAGTGTCCCAGGGACTAGCACAGAGTCTGGTGTGCTGCAGGTGCTTGGTACATGTCCTGTGTTAAAACTTACCACCTTGGCTTGTTCCAGGGGACAGTACAGGAAACACCAAAATTCCTGTACCTCTGGCAGCTTGTCCTTATTCCATTGAGTGTTAAAGATTGTTGGCTCCACTTTGCAGATGAGGGAGGTGAGACTCAGGAGAGGTAAGATTACGGTCTCTCAGCAGGGACTTCAGCTGTCTTCTGACTCCTGCTTCCCAGCTGTCTCCCAAAAACCGTCTCAGGATCCCAGCCCCACAACTGTCACCTAGTGGAACAGAGAACAAGGAGGGCGTCCCATCTGCCCAGTTGTAGGTCCCTCTGCACCTTTTCTGGCTGGGTGGAGGCTGACCCTGGCTTTGTTGGTGAGGGCTGGCCTGGGGAGGCGTCTGTGCTGACCAGCCCCACCTCTGTGGGGGCCTTCCCTTGAGTGGGCTAGAGGACCGAGCTCTCTTCTGGAAGAGGACTGACCTTGAGTACTTGACCTCATTAGCGCCCAGTTTTTCCCAGTGGCACTGAGAGGACGTGACTCACCAGAAACTGAAGGGCCAGGGGTCATGGACTCAGAGCTGGGGGCATCCCTGATGTTCACAGGCCTGGTATGTGCTGGGGCAGGAGGACTGAGTAAATCTCAGCTCCTTAGGGTTTTCCAGTAAACTGTACGGTTAGAGCGTCCCAGGCCGACAGGGGAGTGCAGGGATGAATATAGCTTCTGTTTTTTTTTTTTTAAAGAGGCATGAATTTTTATTTATTTATTTATTTGTTTGTTTGTTTATACATGCACTGGGTACAGTCAGAAGCGCGGGAGGGTGAGAGAATTCACCAGAGCCAGAGCGGGGAGCAGAGCAGGTAGAGGGACCAAGGTACACTGCTGAGGGGAGCAGCGGGCGGCAGGAGAGGTCTGCGCGCCATGTGGGACCCTCCTGCGGTGGCTGGGGAGCAGCCGGGGATCGAACCGGCGCCGCAGAGGCCACAGAGGCTTCGCAACCCAGCGCTCAACCGCTGCGCCACCGGGGAGGCCCTATAGCTTCTGTTTTGATTTGACTCTTCCTTTTCCACTTACCCAGAAAGAAAGGAGAAATGGAATCCAGCTTCAACTTTGGCATTTTTTGTCACTGGTGTCCCGCTCTCCTCGCCTTAAATGCCACTCCTCCAGGGAACTCCCCAAACCCTCGGAGGTAGGGGTCAGTAGGCCAACTGCAAGCTAAGGCTGATGTTGGGCCCACTCAGCCCCGAGTCATGGGAGGACTGAATGTGCGCTGCTCCCCAAGGCTAGGCCTGTCCTTCCATCCATCAGCACTAAGAGCAGCCAGACGTGCCTGGCCCAGGCCCTGCCCTCCCACTGTAGCCATGCCCCTAGTACTAGTAATAGCTACTGTTGATTAAGCAAGGCCCTTTGCAAGTGTTATTTCTAATCCTTTCAGCAGCTCTTGAGGTGGGCACCCTTCTGTCCCCATTTCACACATGATGAGACTGAGGTTCAGAGACACTCGGTAGTCAAGGACACTCAGCCTAATAAGCCTAATAAGCTTTGGAATTTCGACTCCCAAGTCTGATGTCCAGCCCCCAAACCCACGCCCCCAACTCTGTTCAGGGTGGGCATACAGATCCATAGATCAGTGAACTTACCAGACATGTACCATGGCCAAGCACTGTGACTGGGCCTCAAGAAGATTTGGCTTAAGGGGCCTCCCCGGTGGCGCAGCGGTTGAGCGCTGGGTTGCGAAGCTGCCCGCAGCCTCTAGAGCACCGGTTCGATCCCCGGCTGCTCCCCGGCCACCGGAGGAGGGTCCCACATGGCGCGCAGACCTCTCCTGCTGCCCGCT